CCCCCCGAAAATGTTCCTTATTCTTGAAAGCTGACTTGGTGATTTAAAATTTCACTTCATAATTGTAGGTGGTGTGAATAGGTGGAATACAAGAGCATCTGGTTCATTAAGCTATCTGGTTAAGGACACTTCAGTATAAAAGAAATAAGAAACAAAGGAATACACAGACACACAAAACATTAAGGAGCAATGATAACAGAGAATAAAGAAGAATGAAGACCAGAAGGCTTCACCCACTGATTGATGGGCCATTAAAATAACTGCTCTGGTATAGTTTTGAAGAGGATCAACCTAAACTTTGATCAGTACAGAGGGAAAAACATGATCATCATTTCAGGGGGCTTGCAGGACTGTGCAAAACTTAACATATGAAAGGGACAGCAAAACATAGCACCAAGGGAGAGACAAGGATCAAGGGTGAATAGGGAGGAGCAAGTGTGAGAAAAGGCAGAGGATGGGGAGGGGCCGCTGGTCAGTACACTTGACTGGCTGGGCACCTGATCACAGCAGCTCAAACTATTATCTTACAAACTATCTGTAAGATGTATTGCTTTAATACTGGAAAATCATAGATAAAAATACCACTTAGGAAACCCACATAAGAAACGTTTGTCTTCTTTGCACACATCTAATGGAATTCTATTCAACTGAGGTTCAGGACCCAATCTTTAATCATTGCTGCAGTTTGCACCACCAGTGATGGTATGATCAGCACATTAAACAAAAACGAGAAAAAAAATGTCTGTGGCCAATCCTATGTTGAAAAGAAACTGCTTCCATCCATCATTCGTACAGTCAGACAAATGGCACCAAGTGTATTGTAAAGGCTAAACATATTCCATGATCATCTTCAAAAATGACATAGGGAAAGGTAAATCCTATGCAAAATCATGCAGTCTTTCCACATCATGGCTGGTATCAACCACACTAAGCATTTAAACACTTTCAGTTAATGTCGGAGTGCCATTACTGAAACTCAGGTTTGTTACTGACTTCTGTTTTCAGTAAACATTCTCTGTTTTTATCAGTTCTTTGACGATGTGCAAGACCTTGTCATCTAGGAAAGAAAAGAAACACAGAGAGTGGAAAAGAGCACACTTAAAAACTGATTCCAAAACCACAAGAAAATCACAAGACAAGTCTAGTTCTCAGCAACTTAAAATCTTTATGTTTTAGGCTATACCAGACTCTAAAGCAAGACAAGTGATTCCCATTTGCAAAGTACATAGAATCATAAAATGGTTTAGGTTGGAAGGGACCTTAAAGATCATCTAGTTCCAACTCCCCTGCCATGGGCAGGGACACCCTCCACTAGACCAGGTTGCTCAAAGCCTCATCCAGCCTGGCCTTGAACACCTCCAGGGATGGGGCATCCACAGCTTCTCTAGACCACCTCTTCCAGTGTCTCACTATCCCCACAGTAAAAAATTTCTTCCTTATACCTCATGTAAATCTACCCTCTTTCACCTTAAAACTGTTACCCGTCATCCTGTCACTACACTCCCTGACAAAAGAGTTCCTCCCCATCCCTCCCATAGGCCCCCTTCAGGCACTGGAAGGTTGCTATAAGATCGCCCCGGAGCCTTCTCTTCTCCAGGCTGAACAACCAACTCTCTCAGCTTGTCCTTGTACGGGAGGTGCTCCAGCCCTCTGACCATCTTCATGGCCCTCCTCTGGACTTGCTCTTAACAGGTCCATTAGAAAGTTTACAAAACTACTCAACAAGCTGGTTGTGGCCATTTCAGTATTTCGCAAGAGAGACTGAGAAAGTGATAGGCTAACTACAGATACATTAGCACATGGAAACATTCCTTCTTCCCCTCATCTACAATATCCTTCTGAACATCCAGTGTTTAAGTTGTGCTCCTCTATCTCCTACTTAAGGGGCCATGCAGTTTCTCATCGTCAACCTAAACTGTGAGACAACTTGCGTAACACTGTTAAATTCATCCATGCCTGTGGTTCATTACAAGCAATCCTAATTCTGTTTTGATATGCATACATCACTATTACTACCACTACTTTGAATGTTCTTATCAGGTGTAGCTTTAAACCAGCAGTTGTGCAGATCCTCATACATCTGGGATGAGCCACATAATAGATGTAGGGTTAGTAATGACTTTTTGAATGCCTCTCAAGATAACGGAATGATATTCAAATCAGACCAACCCTTTTTTGGGGCAATGAAGCAGTGTACTAATGCTTCCTCAGATTTGCCACAAGGTCTATTTAACAAACAGTAGTGTCAGCAATGCAGTAATAAAGTTACCTTCAAGTGACATTTCTGGATTTTCAAGCCTCTTCTTTAAAACAGACTCAATGAGAACTCTCAGCTGTTTGAAAATTACTGCTATTTTTACAGGAGCCTGTAAAGAGCAAAGAAGATAAACAGTTGCATTACTCAGACATTCTACATCAAAACACAGATTAAAAGATTACCTTCATTTAAATGAAAGTTTACAAGGTTCCTGCAAATGTGACATATACACCTAATTCTAAGCATATGGATAGTGTACGCATGAAATGACCAGACCTACATTATGCCCTCTTGTCTTTAAGCACCTGTTGTTTGCAGCATCACAGCCTAAAGAACAGCAGCTCAGAGGGGTAACTCAGAATATGTTCCCACATGTATCATGAACAACCATCATATGGTGAAATTATTAATTTACTGATATCCTACTTACTCTTATAACTCAGAAAAAAGCAAATAGAGTACAAATTAATTTATACCTGAAATAAAATATCTATACATTTCCCTCTCAGGAAGTCTGCCTGGCCTCCTGAGAAAGCAATCACAAACCTTTCTTAAATCTCGCTAGGAATTTGGCTATCTAAAGCTGAAGCCTTTTCCAGGAATCTTTCATTTTATCCCTTCCTCCCTATTCCAGTCTTTATTTCATTTAGATGCTGCCTGTGGTACAATAAGTAGCTATTACGGAAAAACCACAAAATGCAACATTCTGCTTAGCATCTCAGTAGAAAAATATAAATTCTGAAAAATACTACAAGATCTAATCGGCACAGCAACTACACAATTTGTAGCCACCCAGGGACCGTAACAAAATTCTCCAACAAACCCACAAGAGAGCTGCTTCTTTAAATTCCATATACATGATAAACACTTGAATTCAACTGGGTGGTTGCTTGCTTGCATCAGTGGAGTGCAAAGAACTAAAATGTTTTGTAGCGTATAGTCTTCCTCGAGTGTAACATGGGGTCCACAAGAGCACAGAAAATTGTAACTAAATAGCTGTCAGACTAGCAAAAGCCAGTATTTGCCATTTAACAGAATTTACATAGGATTGTGTGTGTCATCAGTTTTGTCTTAAAAAAAATACATAGAGAAAGTGTACTCAGTTTTCCCAGTCCCAAATAAAACTTCTTCACACAGAAAGAAAAAAAAAAAAAACACAAAACAAAAACACCCAAACAGCCCAAACCCAAGCAAAGAGTTATTTTCCATTTGGATTTTTGCCTTTCCCAAATAATTCTGCAAAGCAAAATAAATATTCTTAAAAGATAAATATGTATGTGCATGATTATAAGACTGCAGGAAAGGTTAATATAAAATAGCACACTCACCTGCTTTCAATATCAGCTCTATGAAACAAGGCCTAGTCTATAACCACTTCCAATACCTTTTCTGAAAGAACACAACTTTCTTCATAGATAGGGAACCGATTTGTTACAAGTTGCATACTACAAGCCTATTCTTTCAAGTGTGATCTACTACGATTTCATTACATGTATAGAAAATTTCCCGTAATTTCCTTTGATTCTGTCCTCCCTTTTTCCCTCTTGCCTTGTTCCCCTGTATATAGTGTCCTGAATTAAGCTCGTACACTAACTGTAATACAAAAGCCCATGGAACCACAAAAGGTAGTTATCTCTCCAACGTACCTGGAAATGGATCCAGCCATCAACTGTCAGGAGACGCTCCCGATGCTGGACTTCTATATCCCCACCAAAAAGCAAAATGGGAAAGGGGGATATTAAAGTAGTTTCTCTCAAATACACTTTAGCATATCTCACCTGCATATAAACAAACATAAGCATTAAAACTCCAACAAAAAACGCCCAAACCACAGAAAATCTCTAACACCAAATTTGACTGCTACTTTTAAAAGCAAAAAATACACTTTTTTCCTTTTAAGATCCAATGATGACACGTCATTGTGCACAGAACAACGGATGGCAATTTGTTTGCCCTGGGCCACAAAAAATACATCACCTGTAAATGACAAGCTTACACACTACCAGAAAATCAGCTAAAGCCACAATTTTCTTGTTAAAATTCAAACACAAACCTAATGTTAGCATAGTGCTTTTCAGAGAAGAGACATCAAAATTAGTAAGCCGACTGAAGTAAAAGGCAGGTAAACCTTTTCTGTTACACATTCTTAGCAGCAGTTGGCTTTTCAATCCATCTATATCCACATGTGTATATGCATATCCAGGGTTAACTACAGGGCTCAGCATACCCTACTTCTGGCTTTTGAGCCTCTCACAGACAGAACGGGATGGGAAGGAGTTGCAGTGGGAGGAAAGGAAACAAAAAGAGTACATCTTCACACAGAAGTGCTGGCTTTCTTTGTTCCACTGTTCATGGAATAACTTACCCACCTTAGCTGTTACCTTCCCATTACACTACAAGGTTCTTGGGGGCTGGAAGTATTTTCAACTCTCCAAAAAAATACTATCACTTCATATGCATTAAGAAACCTAACAATTTCCAGCTTCTCTACAGTAAAGTTGGCCATTAGACAACTGCTGTCAGGGTTTTGTTGTACCAATATTTTAACTATTATAAACCCGGGAATTTAGCAAATAGCTGACAAAATTTTCAGTTGGGAGGGGGAAGAAAGTGGCAGAAAAAAAATGCAATTCACTTTGGAAGTTTAGCAGTCAATTACAGAATTGGCTATTTCATTTTAAGTTGTTATTGGGGATACGTGAGGCCTTTACGAGGTTTCAAAACCTTAGAGCCTCCTTAGAACAGTAAAAAAGAAAAAGCACACTTTGAAGTGTTACTACTACGTATTACTGCTTAAAGTCATCATACTGAAATCAACAGCACTGTATTAGAAAGTCAATGATACTATTAAGTTGAATGACACACAGAAAGGTACTTTCATTTATAGTTACCCATTTCACCATGAACAGATTTGTTCATGATGTTCAGCCTTAACTACTTTTTCTTCAGCACTCAGTTGACTTACTTTTATGGACTTAAGAGTCTTTAGTATGTACTGATCCTAAAGATGAAGAAGACCTTCAGATATACTTGACACTAGCGTATGTTATTTTAATATTAGAGGCATAACTCCGCCCTTACACAAACAACCTGCTATATTCACTGTTTTTACTTACCTTCTCCTGGTAAAGGAGCCATCCATATGTCTGTAAGTCTCTGTTTACAGACGAGGGATGCACTTGCGCTTTGCCCTGAGCAGTTTCTACCATGCAAGCCAGCTTCTCTGTGATATCCACAGACTTTGTATACATTATTTTTCCTACGTTGTCATACAGCCCTGCAGTCAAAACAGCTTTAAGAAGAGCTATTTCATGGAGAGAAAGGGATTGTGTGACTCCATTTCCATTCCATCCACACTGTGTTGTAGGTGCTGTGAACCCTGCTGCTCTGACCACTCTTATGAGTTCTTGCTTCACATCCTGAAATTAGTAAGGTGTCAGTAAAACTCTGAATTTAAAAAGGTACCTACTTCACTCCATCAGCAGGCAGTGACACTCCATCCCAAATATTAGTGCTTTCCATGGGAAAAATCTCTTACCAGAAAAGCAGTTGTGTTTTCTGTAACCACTGTGGAATATTGCCTGTTTCTATGAGAAAAACATAATCTGGAATATAGCATTAGATGTATGGTACTACATATACACTGCAAATACTAAATCTCTCACCTGTAGTAAAATAACAAGACAAACTTGCATCAAATATCCACTGCTGCTTGGCAGAGCTCAGCCACCCAAACTTAAATAGGAAAGGCCAATTAAAACATTTTCTCACCACAAATAAAAGTCCACTAACAAAAGTTTGTGGCTCATCTTTCAAACTAACTGTTAACAGACCTGTTCTTCAATAGAAAAAAATAACACAATTTAAGTATTTTGATTTGTAAGTTTTGATTGTCTGGAAGTAAGGAATAGCTTCTCCAATGGCGGTGACTGCAAAGACGTATACCAACAAAGCGTGCAAATCAGAACTCAAGTGCATACACAGCTACCTCTATTGAGAGTGTGCATTTTAGTCCCTAGCGTTCCACTTATGTCTTGTCTAAATAGTAACTGTGATATATCACCTCATTAAAAGGGCACGACATTTTCAAACGTAAATTTTAACAAATAGCTTTTGAGTGCAGAGCATAATTATTCAGTTTACCTCCAGAGTTAACAGTGAAGTCCTGTTAAGAAAATGTCTTCTGCAATAAGTCATTTCAGCACGATACCCGCCTTCTTGTCGAGCCCTTTTCCACCTAAGGTAAAAAATCCTGTCTTATTACAGTGAAAAGAATCACATCAAGAGTATAACAATAAGAAAGTGGTTAAATGGCAAGTTAAATGGCAATACTGTGTTTTGGTCAGCATTCTCCACTCAAAACTAGAAATAAGTGGCATTAATGAAGATGAATGCTGCTGGTCTAAGACTGCTCAAGAGAACATGCCTTTAACATAAATCGGACAGCTACTAACAAAAAAACAAGGTAATTTTCTCTCAAAAATTACCCACTTTTGTCTGTCTTGACAGTCAAAACAAAATTCGGGTGTGGTTTTGGAGACTAAGTGATAAACAAAGTACACCTCTGTATGTGACTAAGCATTGAAAGGAGTTAAAGGATGAGGTACTAAGCAAACTATCCCTTTGTGTTACAGCATTTGGCAATCTATTGTTACTCTGAAGAGAAGAGCTTCAGGTGCAAACAAATCATGAGAAGATACTTATTGAGGACTCTTTACAGAACCCCCTTAAGTGCTATCTGCATCTAGCTATAAGCACAGGAAAATTATCACTTACCCCAGGTAAGCATTGTAGATTGTTATATGGTCTGAAACTGCCATTGCTAGAGATGATTTTGCAAGATCTGCTTCATCTTTTCGACCAATTGGTGTAGTAAATGGGGATTTTTCTGTCATGACAGCAGCCAGAGTTGCCTGCAATTAGTAAAGTACATATATCTCAAGAGTATTTTATTATAAGCTTACAGATTTATAATACAAATAGCTTTAAATTTTCTTTTACAGTAATATTTAATGATACTTTCTCTTCTCCTAAGCCTCAAGGAAAACTTATCACCGTAAGAATTTCCTACATAGAATTCAGAACTTACTTATATTTAAGATATTGCTTACATAGTGCCTTATACACTGATAAAATCATTAAATCTCAAAACTCACGGGAAGTGGTTTATCAAAAAGCAAAGCAATACCCAATATGATACTGTGAAGGCCAGATTAAGCAACTGCTTTAGATTGTACCACATGAACAGGAGATACCGAGAGAACAAGGAATTTTAACTTTCAGTTTTCAGCAACTAATATACCCATGGCTTCCTCCTAGTTTACAGTAAATTAAATGGATTAGGTGAAAGTCTAAACTATGCCACAGTCTTCATATAATAAATTACCACATCAATTTATTTGCAATAACTTCACATCAGTATGTTCTTGGCCCACAAACCGCAGGGTAATCCAGACTGGTCTAACCCACATGTAAGAGGGCTTTTTCTGTCAGGGTCATACTCCCTGGGATCATAACAGAAAGAAATGGAGACCAAGCCTGACTGTTCCCTTGTGAATAGTACCTTGGAGCTTAGAATCACAGAATCATTTAGGTTGGAAAAGACCTTTAAGATCATTGACCAACTGTAAAGAACACTTAGATTGTTTCCCTCCACGATGTCTGCCTGCCCTTACCTTAAAATAAACATTTTAACTTCTTGCATCATCCTTTCAAAATACCATGTTGCAAGAGATCAGATTAATTGTAAAGAGCTAACCATTTTTATACTTATTTTTTAAATTTAATTTATTTTTTTTACTCACCACAGGATCCAAGCAGCCAAATACAGCACCAAATATAAGCATTTTGCCAATTTTTACATTGACAGGAAGGGCTGCAAGGTGCTGGCCTAATGGAGTAAGCTTGGGCTCATTTAACAGACAAGCCCCAATCTTCCTCAACAGGTTCATTGCATTACCAATTACTTGCTGCTGTGGTGGGTCTAATGCTCTGGAAAGGAAATCTTCGGGAGAACCAAGACTGCATTTCTGTGGAGTAAATGGGCATATATTTCAAGATAAAAATTATTTTTACAAACTTTTATAGTAGCTACAAAGGAAACTGGAAAGCTGTTCTTGCAACCAAAAGATTACATGTCCTCCCTTCTAAACTAACCTCTTTGTTCCCAGACACGCCCCACAGTAGGTTAACAAAACTTCATTGTTTGGAAGGACTTCTGATCACACAACCACTCATCAGACAGGCATGTTACCAGTGGTCACAGATGAGCAGGAGACTCTCAAACCTAATGAGACGCAGTTCAACCTGCCACTAATTTGCCAAGTTGCTAGTGCTCCCATGCATATCCTGCTCATTCGGGAACAGGGTAGAGGGAACGGAACTGCCTCCTTAAGCAGAAGTCACTTTGAAGGCTATTTAACTAAGTTTGAATTGTCACTCTGGAATAGCATAGTATGTTATTCTCACTGAGCAGCATGCTCTGGATTTTCCACAACACACAAGTACTGGTTTCCCCCCTGCCCTGGTCAGAGAAGCCCCATTAACTGGACAAGGGCTGTCCTAGCAAACCTTTTTAGCTAAGCAAGATCAGTAATTCCAAAACCAAAACCACATGATGGCATGAAGGTGTAATTCCTCCAAGTGACATGTAACATTTTTAGCCAACAAGGTCAGGAATTCTAAAAGCAAAACTATACCATAATATGAAGGCATAATTCCTCCAAAGGCACACGCAGTATTTCTGGAACAGAATACTCCATGAAGCTTTCAAACCTGCAACATCATAAAAGCACAGAATCCCAGATATTAATCTTTGAATTCAACTTACAAATTCAGGTTTCAGATGCTCATTCTTTGCAGATGTTCTTTTAAGGGGCAAGGTGTGGGAGCGGCATGTGTTTAATGCATGGTAAACTGTTCATCATTTCAATTAAGGCATGTCTGGTAGCTTGAAAAGTCAGAGTTTTCGTGAAAGAGAGTGAAAGAGAGGGAGCAGCAGTAAGACCCTGATTTTCAAAACAAATTCTTAAAATGCACAACTCTCAAACTGGAAATCTTACATGTGGCTGAAATTCACACTTCATTGGTTATTTCAAAATACTTTTGCCTTAACTATTTCTCAGCTCAAAGTTGCTTCAGACAAGCAGGAAAAAAGTTATTGCCCTGCAGTAACAGAAACTACTTCCGCAGTGCTATAAAATTTTATATTTTCTGCATCTCTTATCCACAGACATACCACTTCAGACACCTACAGATTTGTCTGATAAAGTTCTGGAGATAAAGTCTGTGTATATTTGATGAAGGGCATGAGATGTTAAAATCTGATCTACAATTCTTTGGTGCTGCACTTTTTATCTAATTATTAATTTTTTTTTTTGGTCAAAGCACTTACATTAGAGAGATACTAAGAATAAAATTAACTTTTTAAAATAATGAAACAAAAAGACTATTCTAACACTTTTTTCATATGATACTAAAATTATCTGTATTTTTTTTTTTACGGTTTAATATTTCCAGTTTGCAGTAAGTAAAGTGAACTTCAACAAGACTTCTTGTTTCTGTACACAAAAAAAAATACAAAGATATTTATGTGATTTACAAAAATTTGCTAACTAAGTTTACCATACCTGTCTCTTGTGTACATCCGGAAGCAGAATCCATCCCTAACACGTCCAGCTCTTCCTTGTCTCTGCAGAGCACTAGCTTTACTAACAAAGGTCTCCTCCAGGGAACTCATCTGACTACTTTCGTGATACCTTAAAAATTGTAAAGCAAGTATTATTTCAGTACAGTATTCTTTCATCTCTCTGCCAATTCATAATTCTTTCAACACACTCTGTAATGCTTTCCACATTTAAAACTGAAAAAATAACTTCTAAAAACTAAGATAGTACTAAAAAATAAATCTATTGTATTTTTAAACCAGTACCTATTCATGATTCTCCATATCTATGAACATCTCCCCTTGCTCTTCACACCATTTGAAAATCCAAATATTCCTCCCAAACTTGTACCTAAACTGCAAGCTGTTCAATGAAGTCAACACATTTTTTTGTCCAGAACTGCAGTTTAATGAGGATACTACAAAATTCTTACAGTACTCCACATATTTACAGTAATCACAGTCTGACTGAGGAGAATCAAACTCTCACCTATTTTCTTTTGTTCGCCCAGTATCAATTACAAAGACAACATCTGGTATTGTAATACCCGTCTCTGCTATATTGGTTGCCAAAACAATCTGAAAAGTAGTAACATAACATAAACAAAAGAATTATTGAATATCTGTCTAACAGTTTTCATCCTTTTAATCAATATTACAGAATAAGTTTGGTTAAAGTTTTTTTACCCACAAATGTTTCCTTAAATAACCTGACAAAATATTAAAAGCTACATGACTTGGAAAATAGTTTAGTCTTCCCAATTACCCAGGAATCCAAAGTTACGTCAGAATTTCACAATCACTTTTTGTTTTATAATGCATCAAAATTACTACCTAGTATCTGCTAAAATTAGTCAATTTTAATAGTTTCACAGTAAGTAAAGTACTATTTTTCTAAATAAAAGCTATAGTTATTGGTTAAAAAAGAGTTAAAATACCAGAAAGCAACAACTAAAGAAGCTCTTAGAAAAATACTAGGTTTAAAAATTTGTCCAATTACTGCCAAGGTTTTCATAGCATGGTAGCTTCTATCTGTTACAGAGCACTGAATTAGAAGAACTGTTTCTTTGCAGTGAGAACAACTGCTTGTTGTGTAATTTTGTATGATTTGATTTTAAAACAATTCAGAGTTGCACTCACAGAAAATTGCTCCTTTCAGTGGTCAACTTTGCCTTTCCAAATATACCATACCTTTCTAATACCAAGAGGAGGTATTGTAAATGCAGCTGCTTGATCTTGAGTTGAAAGAACAGAATGTAAAGCTATCAACCGGTGCCTAGAACAAGAAATTACACTAATCAATATACACTTACCAAATTACACCAGAATGATGACAACAGTTTGGAGAAAGCAACCAGAATGGACACTTGAAAGAGTAAAACACTGTACTGTACGATTAGGTATGAAGGTCTGCTTCAGTGTTTTATTAAAACAACAAGAAAGGATAACACCATTAGTTCATAGAGCTGTCCTCCTATTTGGCAAGAATGCAGGAAAAATGCTACTACTGCAGAACTCTAGGTTAACTTACATCAACAGCCTAGCAAAAAAGGGAACTAGGTGTCCATGAACTCAAATGCTTTACATTGTGCTTGCAAGACAAGGACCATTACTGACACGTTGCACAGAACTATAAACACATACAACTTTCAGCCTGAGTAATAACCCCTTCAGGGATGAGACAGCCACAGAGATTTGTATTTCCCTTCTCCTCTACACCTTCACATCTCAGTCCATGTATGAATCTTCAGAATTTGACTGCAGATGTTCTTTTTATGCCACAGTATTGCTAGCTTTCAGTTAGCTACAAAACAAATTTCAAGCCTATCTGTCACTACAACCGTATGCCATTTCTCTTGGTAGATTCCTGTCTCTGGATCTCTTCTCAGGAAGTAGTCACCTATGTGTGAACAGTAAGCCACAGAAAGCTATATCCCAGATATGGCAGCTTCCGTACCCTAAGAAGTGGAAAAGAAGTAGTCGAGCGCCTTGTGATTAAGTTTGTTGAAAACAAAATCAAAAGAAAAAAAAAAAGTTATTACTGTATCATTCCTAAGCACGTGTCAGTTTTGCTTGTATCGTTTTCAGATAATAAAAGCACATTTGTAACACAAACAGCTCAAAGGTATAACCCTCAGTTTCCTTACAGCAGACCTTAAAACCCAACAAACAACTTATTAAGTTAAATTATTAACTTTATAGAAAATACCTGCATTACCTGTCATGCAGGTTAAATCTTCTGTCAGTTGAAATGAGATCATACAGCTGTTGGATGTGGGCAAGGCCTGGTAAAAAGATCAGCACAGCACCCTCAATGGTCTTAAACTGGGGACTTCTATCTGCAAAGTTAGAGCACAGGCACATAGTTAAAACAATAATGCATTTGCAAACAGTTTCACTTGAGAACAAGAACTAATTCTAGCCCCTGTGGTAAACGCTTTTTAGGACGTTTCATACAAGAATGAAGTCAAGTACTTCACTATCAGTAGAAAACAGCGGGAATGAAGTCCAAAGGACAGCCCCAAGTATACAAACTTCTTAAGGAGTAGACTGTACCTAAGTATGCAAGCAGCTCCAAAATAAGTTCAAGGTTGATCTTGTATGGATTCATATAGAAGATGGCCTGCTGTGTACGGCTGCTATACTTTGCATAGTAAGGAGCCAAATCAATACCAGATCCAGACTGGATTGGGACACACTCCTTAAAAAAGAAAAGCAGGAAAAAAAATAAAATCATATTTTCAGTGTTTTAGAAGAAGGTAAGAGAGCTGAAGGTCAATTTGTCATTCACTTAACTTAGGTTTCTTAAAACAGAGGTTGAGATAAAGAGACATTTAATTGACTAACTTCCCACCAAAATCAGTGAGAGTTAGATTAAATCACAGCCACCTATGTAGTCTGCGTATAGGTATCTACTACTGTTAAATGACAACCTAGATCAAAACAAAAAAAAGTAAAAATGAAAGTCTCTGCAAGCGGTACTATATACAGTCTATTTTACAGATGAAAACCGTTTCCAGCTCCGTATCTGGCATCTAAGTGGTACCAATTCAAAATGGCATAACAAGGCGGCTACTCTTCTTTCAAAACTCCTATTTTGGTATATAAGAAAGAAGTCTCCCCTTGCTCCTCTCCCTCACTTCAACCTTCTCAACTAATGGTTGCAATGAATGCCTGGAGTGAATTAGGTGGCAACTCCTGTAGTGTTTTGGAGCAGGAGGAAAGGGGAAGGAAGGCAGAGTTAGCAGAACTTACAGACATTAAAATTGTTTATAAACATCTTACAGATACATAATTAACATAAGGCTTCTATGTTAAGTGGCACTCGTGTAAATTATTTAATTGTTAATCAACACACTAAAAGAAGCTTGCCACCAGACATCCTTCTGTACCTAAGGCTCAACCGAAATAAACCACAAAGATGAAGGAACACTCAGGAGGGCACCTGGGCTTCAAGTAAAGGATGCTGTTGTGATGTATGGGGTAGCTACCGCTTCAGGAAAAAAAAAAAAAAAAAAAAAAAATCAGCAGAGCACATGAGAGCATATTTTTCAACATATGCGTGAGTGTTTGATCACACCAACCTAAATGGTCCTGTAGAGATTTTGAGAGAGCAAGTCAGAGAGACAGGTATCTACCTAAAATATATAGAGTCTAGATGAACAGCCCAAGTTGCTTCAAATCAGAGGGCATTCATACACTCTTCCCTTAAAGAATTTTGATCCAAAAGCATATATGGCTGTCACTGCAGAGTACCTACAAGATCAACCACAGCCTATTAAACCAAAAAGCTCTACACAATCTCATGTAAGTTATTTCATTTGGCATGTCAAGTTGGATGATCTTGGGAGTTTTTCAGCTAAGAAGGCTATGTCATTTCCTCTTCTGTTCTTAAGTTCACTACTTAGGAGAATTGCTTGTGAGAAAAAGGTTAAATGCTTTCCCCTGCTGCTGCTTATAGATCTAGAGCTGGGAATGTGTACAAGAGAACTCAGTGTCAATTATAGCAAAATCAAAGCAGCTATAATTGAGTTGGAAAGACAAGCATAAGGGTGCAGCATTAATAAATATTTGCTTTCCACTGTAGCAGTCCCATTGTGTCTGTCTTTTATCAACTGTTGAAAGATTATTGGCATTGCACAATCCAATCACATTTAATAAGAGGAATTTAAAAGATAAAATAATAAAAATTAAAATTTCCAAACCAAAACCGGAAATATTTTACCTGATACTTTGTAGTGCCTCCTCCTTTGCTAGTAACATTTATTGTTACGTCCTCTTCCTCCTCCAAGAACTTCTGACAATATTCCGAGTCTTTCTCCAGAACATAGCCAGTTGCTTCAATCACATCTTCCACATGGAAAATCTTTAGTGAAAATTCACAAAAGAAATACAAGGCATATCAAAAACTAACCAGCACCTTTTTAGTTATTTTTAAAGCTCACATACAAAGCTGAACAGGGTACACCCTTCCCTTTTAAAGTTGTAATAAACCTTGCAAATTTCCACTTCAACTTTACGATTTTTGAAAGTCTAAACTTAGAGCTGCTACGAGCTTGTTAATGGGCCTCTCCCCACGATCGCTAACATTACTTTTACCATACCCTATACAACATGCATAAGAAACATACATAAGAGTGTAATGACAAAGCTGCATGGGGGGTGGGGGGAATTCTTTAATGCTTTCCTTTCTAGGTTAATTAGAGAAAAATCAAAGCATCACTGAGAGACTGACGTTCATCAATAAGAAATCCACCAGGAGAAACAATACAACCCTGTACTTCAAAGCACTGAAGCTATATTTCCAAAAAGGAAAAAGATTACAAGTCCTTGAAACAGACACTTCAGATATTTATTTTTTGTGAGAAAGAAACAATAGAGGTATTATTTCCTATAGACACTAACAAGGCGCTGTATACAAGCATACAAAGTGTCCTGAATTATCAAAGAAACATCTGCCTACCTCGACAGGGTAACTTCTCCCCGAGATCCTTAAAATGGGACAGTGTGAGAAATAGCTGGAAAACTTCTCACTGTCTACAGTAGCACTCATTAAAATCAAATGCAGGTCTGAACGCTTATGCAAGATTTCCCTCAGAATAACTAGCAAGAAATCAGACTGGACACTTCTTTCATGTACCTAGAATTAGAAAAACATACCTACAGTAAGACCTTAGTACAAGTCAAGGCCCAGAATAACGACAGTTAGAACAGAACAGTAAGAGCTGATAACCTCATCTACAATAACATGAGATATACTTGAAAGAAGACCATCTTCCTGAAGTTTCCGAAGCAGGACACCTGTTGTACAGTACAACAGTCTGGTGGCTTCTCCTGTTCTTGATTCCATACGAATCTGATATCCACACAGGGAATTCTTTAAAAAAAAACATAAGAATAACTTAAAATAGTATACAAGCTAGAGGTACTCAAAACAAGGTGAAATGTAAGCACTGTTAGATTCAAGACACTGCACAAGTTGCTAATTAAATAGTATGGTGAAGGACTACCTGCACCGTTTTTTTCATACATGCACTTTCCTTCGCCAAGAAAGGGAAAATACACCAAAATCTACAACCAAGTTTCTCCAGAGCAGCAAAGACCTGGTAAAGTCAGTATTCTTTTCACGGTTTCTTCGCAGGCTTAAGACAAAAATATTGTTTCACAGATAGACTACCATAAAACATACAGGAGCTTCGTTTTCTTCAAATAACAGAAGAACTTACACTGGAAGGGGCCTACCTCAAAACAGGGCCCCACTCGAGACCAGACTGGATTGCTCAGAGCCTTATCCAGAGGAGTGTTCTCCATCCCTAATGACAGAAATGCCACTGTCTCCGGGTAATCTGCTCCAATGTTTGACCATCCCCATTATCCTGGCCTGCATCAGCAATAGTGTGGCCAGCAGGACTAGGGAAGTGATTGTGCCCCTGTACTCGGCACTGGTGAGGCCACACCTTGAATCCTGTGTTCAGTTTTGGGCCCCTCACCACAAGAAGGACATTGAGGTGCTGGAGCAGGTCCAGAGAAGGGCAGCAAAGCTGGTGAAGGGTCTGGAGCACAGGTCGTATGAGGAGCGGCTGAGGGAGCTGGGGTTGTTTAGTCTAGAGAAGAGGAGGCTGAGAAGAGACCTTATCACTCTCTGCAACTACCTGAAAGGAGGTTGTAGTGAGGTGGGTGCTGGCCTCTTCCCTAAAGAGATAGGACAAGAGAAAATGGCCTCAAGTTGCAGCAGGGGAGGTTTAGGCTGGATATTAGAACAACTTTCTTCACTGAAAGAGTGATCAGGCATTGGAGCAGGCTGCCCAGGGGAGTGGTGGAGGCACCATCCCTGGAGGGGTTCAAGAAACATGTAGACATGGTGTAGTGAGTCAGGGGGTGTGGGTTGACGGTTGGACTTGATGATCCTTGAGGTCTTTTCCAACCTTCATGATTCTATGATTATGAAACACTCTTGCTCTCAATCACCCCCTGAAGAATTTAAAAAATCATATACCCGGAGGTTGAAGGGTGACAAGGTGACAGTTTGTAAAGAAACATCTGACACAGCAAGAAGCCCTTTTCAAAAAAAAAATAACACCCAATTATTTGGTTGTGTAAGAAATAACGTTTCCACTTTGTACCAACAATCCAGCCCCCTGCATTTGATTAAGACTAGAAAAAGTAATTCAGACATATCTTACTTGTCCTCCCGGTCCCAATTCACAGCCTAGCTCTTCAGAAACCCTGGTTGCCAGACTCAC